ATCCTTTTGTGCTCTTAGATGATACCGATAGAATCATCCTCATCTCCATCACTTTCTCCTTCCTCCACCAGATCTTCTTCTTCTTTTCCCTCGTATTTCCTCTTCAAGGTCTTATGGTGCTCGCAGCACTCCTTCGCATTCTGATTTGTCCCAAGAAATTATGCAATTTTGCCCAATCGAGTCTCCTTTCATTTTTTACCAATATTAATAATCAGCTCTCTTCTACTTAGCTCCAATCAGCTCTCAGCTTTTCAACTTCTTCCTTTTTGAGGATCATAAGGTAGCGTTGATAGCACTCCCCTACACTTTGGTTTAGCCCCAGCGATGACGCAATAAAGAGGCAATTGATGTCTGTGCTTTGTTGTCAGATCAGATGCATCAACTCCTTGTCTTCTAATTCACTCCTTCGCCTCAAAATCTTTGCAATATTCTGCAGGGCCCAGTGATACCTCATACGTGCTTTGCATTCCATAGCTGTATGAGTGGAAACATACATCGACATGGTTCCAGTCAACTTCGTGGAGCACGTCATCCATGACCTTCTTCGTACCCCGTTTAAGGAAGCCATCTTGATCTTGATGAAATCCTCACCGTATTCCCTCTTAAATCCATTCCACAGCCTATCATCTGCTCCTGTACTCCACTCTTGAAGTTTTAACATCAATTCAAAGAATGGGTTAGTCTATCCCCCACCCAATTCTTCAATGATTTCCTTGATAACACTGACAAACAGCTCTGGGATCATTGTAAGTTTTGCTGCATCAAATGCTTCATCTTCATGTGCTTGATAGAAAGAGCCAGTTAATCCTTTTAGACTCCATGTCAACCTTGATGAATCGCTCAAGATTGGCTTACATTTTTTCAATCAATGGGTTTTTCTTACTAGCTATCCATCTCTATCTTGGTCTTGTTCTTTGTTATCCTGGTTGACACTCATGGTAGAGGAAAGGCAAGGGAAAGAGCACGAAAGAAATGGAAGTGAAGAATGTGACAAACTGAAACAAGCATTCACTCTCACTCTCTAAAGAAAGCCAAAAGAACTATCTCAAATTTTGGTGTACCATACAAGCGGATTGATGGGGAGAATTGATTTGAATACAACTCAAGTAGTTAGTTATGGTTTTTTTTTCATACCATGAGCTAGTTCCTACATTGAGATAATGTGAAAAACTAAATCAATATAGTTCAGGATTATAGTCTTAAACAAGATATGAGTACCTTAACTCCTAAAATTGAGGGTATGGATTTATTGGCTTCTCTTAATTGTTAATTTACCAAAATTCTCAGAATTGATTCAGATGTCAAGATCACGAGCTTAAAGCCAAGCTAGCAAGATCAATGTAACTTGAAGTTCAACTCAACCCCTAACCTAAAAGGCTCGTATGCTCATCCAAGTATCCTACAAGCTTTCTGCTTAGTTTTCTCTTTAAACTACATATATCCCCATATAGAATTGATATGGAGAACTAAATTATTTATAACATCTTAGTATTTGAACAATCTTCAAATGCAAGATGTTCTTTTCCCCAAATCATCTAGGATCATTGATTAAATTTTCTATACATTAAATGTAAAATCCACAGATTTTTTTTTTAAGATTTGAAAAATCTTTATTCTTTTTTCTTCGTTAATGAAAACGATTTATTGTATTGTTAAGAAGTAGAAATTACCTTAGTAATTATTTAGGTAATGTGCTATGGGTACTTAAGTAAATAATTTTATCAAGAGTCCAATAAGATTGATGTCAAAGGTGACTTGTAAACACTCATTGTGTGTTAGAACACAGAAAAATCTTACACCATCAAAGAAGATATAGAAAATTCTAGTAAGTACAAAAAAGAATGAGTAATAATTTGTTATGATCTTTTTGAAAAGTTAAAGAAAGTGATTGTCTAGCGTTTATTTGAATTGTGTTCTCCATGACTCCATATGGCTAGTTAACCTTCAAAGTTATCTAAATAAACTCACATATTGTCTTCGGTCCTAAACTTTCAATTTTGGAAGTTTTAAAACTCTATCTTTTTAACTTTGAGAAAAATTATTGTCTAAACATATTGACTAAAAAACAACAAATGTCAAAAACATATTTACTACACATTTTTTTAACTTTGAGAAAAATTAAATTTCTAACTAAAGTAGATTAATGGTGACAAAAGTCCGGCCATATCTATCAATTAAAAACAATTAGTACATTAACCCCATATACAAAAATGTCTTTTGAAACAAAGTTCCAAGCTACAATAAAGTATTAATCTTTATGATTTAACTTAAGAAGTATTATTTGTCAATCGAATTTTCTTTTTCCACTTTTAAAATTACTAATTTTGAAACCTCTCAATAGCCAAATACGGTATTTTATCCAAATCCTACATAACGAGGGATTGTGCATAAATATCTGGTTCAAAATCCTCATACAATTGAACCCTAAATGTGACATGTTTCAGTAATTCGAGTGACCAAAATTTATATTAATTTTTTCTAGTTACTAAACATGACATGATGTAGTAATCTCAGTGACCAAATGTGACATTTACCCATTTTATTATTATCATGATTGAATGCACAAAAATAAGATAGCAACAACCTCACCTAAACCAAGCTCTTAGGAAACAGTAACTTTTATTTGCATTTATTTACAACAAATCATATGTAATAATAGTTCATGAAACAATTCTTTTTTTTTTTTTTTGTAAAAAGAAAAATGGTTATGATGATTGAATGCACAAAAATAAGATAGCTATAACCTCACCTAAGCCAAGCTCTCATGCGCTCCTCGCTAATTCATATGCGACATTTATCCAAATTCACTGTTCAATGAGCTTTGTAAAGCAATGGACTTGTAACTTATTCCCCGAAAACAAAAGGCAGTGAAGCTCCAGAGCCACTTGGACAAATACATCCTGGTCGAGAACCAGCCCCATGATGCATAAGTGGATTTTGTAGACCGTAGAGGCGGTGGTGGCCGATGATGGGGAGACGGCGGCGGATTCTTCGCTCTCTGTGCTTGAGGTGGAACTGTCCGGTGATCACTATGAATTAGGGTTGCCGACGACGTTGAGGAGCTCGAGGCTGGCCATGGTGAAGTCTCTATTTAATAAGTTTGCGAGAATACTTTGTAATTACACGCAATAGACTATCAACTAGTTGCTTCTATGATAAAAATATCTACTCTCAATTCTCTTTATTTGTGCGGAGATAGAAAGTTCGATTTAGTGAGAGTAATTGTTCTCAATGATCATCATATTATTAATGGAAGAACAACGACACGTTTTAATTTTTATTGTATCGATTTAAACCCACGCAACCGGTAGCCTTTTTCCATTTGATCATGTAATGATGTTAGGTTCAAAAGAGAATGTGGTCTAACATGGCAGAAGAATGATGTTTGGTTAGGAGTTTTAGTCCGGCCATCCAAGAAATATGTCACAATTTAGAGCATATAAGTACTTCCAATTTCAGGTTCAGTAGAAAATCGACCATCCAAATTGATGAAGATTTCAATCCTAAGTGTTCATACTATTTTCTAGCTAAGTTACAACATTAGTGAAATGATCATACAATTCTCCGTCTGTGAGTTTGTCTTTTCATTTATCTAAGATGAGTTTTTTACTTTTACGGCTTGGTCTCAGAGGCAAGGATGATCTTGATAGGAAATTGATGAGGCATGATAAGTCTTTCGCAAATCCGCTCCAGTTGTGTTGATAGCTTTGCGATTATAATCCATCTGAAATTGTGATTCTATGTGTTTTCTTCGTTTCAAAATATATGTTCAAAATCAGACCAAAAAAAAATATATGTTCAAAATCAGACCAATGAGCTCTGTTGTGGAGTGAAATCATTGCAAGGAATTTCCATTTAGATGAGTACCACTCTATACTTTTTTTGTGTGCCTAAAATGCAAGTTGACCGTTTGTTTTCTGGTGCTTTCCTGTCCTTTATCTTGGTTTCAGACTTTCAGACACAAAAGTTATTTGTTCTCCTTAGAGATGATTGCTTTTTCTTTGATTGGACCGACTGATTTTGCTGTAAACCTTCTGTATGCAACACTAAGCATGCTGTTTTGCTACTAAGTAGTGAAAATCACCTCATTTGTTTTATGGTTCTCTAGCCCTTTCGTGCTCTTTCTTTCTAGGTTTTGGCCTATCGTCGGTGACACTCATGGAGAAGGAGAACGATTGAAGGATCTCCCAGAGTTGCTTCATTTTTGTTCTCAATTTCAAGTGAGTTTCCCTTCACCAGCCTGCAGTGTGTTTAGTGATACCCAATCCGCCTTATGTGGTTCTGTTTTGATATAATTCTGTTATGATGTCGTGTTTCACATGGAGTTCAGTAAAGAAGAGCAAAACAATGATAGCTATACGCAACGATGGCTTCGAAATTGAATCCTAACATGCCCTCTTGCACTTCAATTTGTGACATGTCCAAGTTCATCTGCTTTGTTTCTCTTTTTAGATTACCTGTTTTCTATATATTGGTGTATGCAATATCGTTTGATTGTTATTTGTGTTTTTATCATAGTTATGCTGTAATAGGTGATTGAGGGAATATGCAAAATTATCCTGCCTTATTGGATTGGTCCATTTAAAACCAGTTTACTACTCAAAACTATGTGATATTGAACCCAAAATTAGTCTTAGGTGTAAACACCTGGATTTTTATAAAATCAGTCAACTACGTTTATAGTATACCCATAGAAACTCACGAAACTTTGGCGTTACATTCTAGATTTTATTTTGCCGTAGGCGTTACATTCTAGATGCAATCGCATACTACATACTTTGCATACTGTTGAATGTATTCGTCAAAATTATTATATATCCGGGTGTACTTCAACAAACCACATTGTCAAACGTACAATACCTGTAAGAATATGGCCGTTTCCATCATTATATAATAATAATAATAATAATAATAATAATAATAATAATAATGGAATTATATGTATAATTAAATTTATTATTCCAATATTATTATTAATAATAATAATAATAATAATAATAATAATAATGGAATTATATGTATAATTAAATTTATTATTCCAACCCCCAGTCCCAGTCCCAGTCCCAGTCCCAGTTCCTCCTACTTTTCCTCGGTCCAGAAGAGTTGAAAATACATAAATAACAGAAGCCCATGTAGTAATTTCCAACCTTCTTCCTCCAAACAGACCCTTCCCTACTAAGCAACAAAACCCCCTTTCACCGCAATACATACGACATACAAATACCAAAGTACAGACACATCTCCCTTTACAAACCCAATTAATTACAATTACAATAATTAAACCTTCGAGGAGATTAATTAATCTCTATATTATATAAACGTAGGCAATATCTTTCACTTTCCACACATTTAGCTCTCTCCCAAAGCTGATCACACAATTGAAACAACAATGGAGTTCTTCACGAAAACCAAGGCCGTCAAGCTCCGGAGCCACCTCGACAAGTACCTCCTCGCCGACGACGACCGCCACACCGTCCGCCAGACCCGCTCCTCCGCCTCCTCCCGCCGCGCCACCTGGTTCGTCGAGCTCCTCCAAGACCACGACGGCGCCGGCGGCGCACCACTCATCCGCCTCCGCAGCTCCTTCGGCACCTACCTCTCCGCCTCCGACGCCCCCTTCCTCCTCGGCGTCACCGGCTGCAAGGTCGTCCAGGCACCCGCTCCGCCGCCGGACCAAAACACCGCCGCCGCCGCCGCCTGCCTGGAGTGGCGGCCGGTGAGGGACGGGTTCCAGGTCCGGCTCCAGAGCTGGTGCGGGAAGTACCTGAGGGGGAACGGCGGCACGCCGCCGTGGAGGAACTCGGTGACCCACGACGACCCGCACACCGGCGCCACCCAGAAGTGGATCATGTGGGACGTGGAGGCGGTGATCGGCGGCGAGACGGAGTCGGTGGCGGAGTACCTGTCGTCGGTTTCCAGCCTGTCGTCGCTCTCCGATGAGATGCTCGAGGCCGTTTCCGAAGACTACAAAGGCTCGTCGTCGCCGCGGTCGCCGATTACAGTCATGCCGCCGGCCAGGACGCCGAGGTTGACTGTGATTAGGTCCTTCTCGCCGAAGCTGTCCGACTCTCCAAGGAAGAAGGTACACGTGTTCCCATCTTTTATTAATTATTTATCCCGCCGCGTTTTTCTTTTTTTTTTTCTTTTTTGCTTCTTCCCCTTCTTCTTCACTCCAAATGGGACGAATTTCTGCGTGGAAATCGCCGTAAAACTGAATAGGGAAAAGTCATTTTCCTTGACATCGTCCAATTTGTGGTTCTCCGCTCTTGATGCGTACCAAGACGTTATTTACAATAATTGTCACGACATATGCATCTAATAAGAGAGGATTGTAGAATGAACAATCCATCAACATTAGTAAGTACTCATATCTAGGGCCAACAAATTGAGTTGCCAGTTCACTAGCAGGTTCGGCTGGTTCGCATTTTATTCAGTTTTAGTATTTTGGTCAACGTGGATGATATAGTTTAGAAATAGTTATCACGTTGATTCAATTACTAAAAATCGTGTGATACATCTAAGCTAAATCAACCTGTAACTGTGGTTTGTTTAATTCGAGTACAAATGTAATTGGGCATCGACACAAACACCGCCCAATATACTATATACTAATGGCCAAAAAATACTAAGATTAGAAACGTCAAATATATCGACAATTTTATATAAAAACACAATCACACAATTAGGAAGAACTAGTGAGTTTCGAAATATTTCGTAGGCAGCCTTCCAGAACTCATCTTGCACCTCCTAGTTCGCCAGCTTTCCAAATTAGGTTTGAATCCCTTGTAACACTGAACCACCAAATTCAGCACACAGAATAGACAGCGAATTAAAGGTTTTCCCCATAGTTTTAAGCTTGCACGAAACACGCATTCATAATGTGTTTCATCCATCCTCTTCTTTAGGTTCGTACGTATGTGTATGGCTGAAGACCAAGATTAGGCCAAATTGGGAGAATTAGGAGAACATTAATTAAGGCGAATTAATAGCCTTACCAACCCCTTTCCACTACGCCCATCTAATTGAATTTGCACCACTAATCTCTCCAACATTATTTTTGGGAAGAAGAAAGTAATAGCACCACCAAATAAGGCAGACAATTTGCCGGTTCGGATAGGCCACTTTTTCTTCTTCTCTTTCTTTCCGGGTGTGCTCAGTTAGGTAGTGGCCGTCGTCGTTGGGGAAATCTTCTTCAATGTTGGATTGGGACAGCACCCTCAATATTAGGCATTAGCACAAAAGCCAATCCACTCCTAGCACACATGAATACCATTCTAAATACGGTGTTCAAAGGTGTCTTGAGTCGTTAGATCGGGTGATTGGCAAACTTCGAATCGAAATAGTGACCATTTTATGTAGTTAAATTGTCATTGCTTTCATATAACATTCACTAATCATTCTCGATCATCAGATCCTTCAACTATGAACATTTATGAGCACATTCTCACGACGCACCTGAGATAAACATTTGTGCTCTTTCCCCTGTACATGGTTGTGTATGACTTGCTACATCCAAAACTTTGTTGGAAGCCGTCTGATTGTGCCTTAACTTCATGACACTCCTCTCTATTCACATGATTAAAGAGTCTTGGAGATATCAAACTTCCTGTTTGTTATGTTACCCACTACTAGCAACGTAATATACGACAAACAGAGTTTGTTTCGTTTCCTAATAATAATAATAATAATAAAGTATTTTTATACATTGTTCATACACTTGTACGAGTTTGGATCAACATCATGAAAGAGGCCACACGCAATTGAATATATGCAGAAAAGAACCCTTTGATGCGTGACCCAAGCCAAGTGGCTTGCCTTTGCTGTCCTTCCTACTGTTAGAAAACTAAAATTAGGCTTCCCCATTAAGGCATCGCTAGCTCCACGCAGCATTAGTAGCAAGCAGTAGTAGACAGGTTAGTTAATCTCTTTTATATTCACTACTATATATTAGAAGTCTTCCAACCTTGACCAAAAGCTCCATTACTTTGGACCTTTGTAGCCAGGTTTACATCAATCTCAACAAGTATTAGCTAACCTAGAAGTCAACTCAATTATTTTCATTACTATCTGATGATGCAACAACAATAACAACAAAAATTGTCATAGACAATATGACAAAAACAAGAGCTAGGTGTACACCCGTGACCTGATACTCTACCATAGAAATTTAAGGATGGATTTGCTTCATGGATTTAGATGATAGATTTGGATCCCTAATCCCATTCATTATGGGTTTTGTCAAAGTTATTGATTGGTTGAAGTTTGTTGGAGAATCAAATTCGTGTGGTCGATGGAGTTCGAGGGTTCAAATTCGTGGCACCACGCACGATCTTGCAAATTCCATGTCAGGAGATGGAAATTGGAGCATGGTCATTAATTCATGCTTTAATTAAGAAAATTCATAATCAAATCCAATAAGCAAACAATAAAATAATGTTCACCACAATATGATGATGATGGAGCAACAGCAACAACAACAATAACAGAGAGCTAGGTGCACACTCGTGACCTAAAACTCTTCCTGTAGGGATGGTTTGTTTCATGGATTTGGGTCTCAAATTCAATTCATGGAAGATTTTGCATAAATCTATTGTTTGCTTGAAATTTGTTGCGGAATCAAATTCATGGGCTCTACAAACTTGCAAATCTTATGTCAAGAGGGGGGATTCGAAGCATGACCATAAATTCATGATCTAATCGAGCAAATCCCATATGCAAACAATAGATTCAGTCAAATCCATATCCATAATGTTAAGAATCTATCATAAATCTAGAATTTATCAAAGCTCAAGTCTTACCAAAACCTTCATGTTTAATATGAAGCAAATGACCCCTTAGATCTTGATACTCCATTATTCACAGAGTTTAGGCACAATTAGGCAAGTAAAAGAATAACAGAATTAGGTTTAGAGTAGTACAATTGAGGAAGGGAGTTTTAAAAGAATAAGCAAAAAGATAGTAATGGGAGGTACGTGATAATTCTTCGCTCATACGGTCCGATGTTGAAGCTACAATATATAGAGCTAACTGCTAAGAGCCTAACACAGTAACACTTCTAACCTCTATTCAGTAACCGAATCAGACTTCTGATTAAGGGTTGAGAACGAGATTTACTCTAACATAATCATAAAAAAAAAACAACAAAGTTGAGTACAACCTACATCTTTCAAGTAGGTGGGAAGTATCAGAAACCAACCAGTTGTTTAATGTTTGCCCTACACAATAGCGACTTGGTCACATGGAACATTGAAAGCAGTGGATAATGAAATGAGTCGAGTTTAATCTTCTTTTCCCATTTCCATTCACTTTTGTCAATGCAACTAATTCCACAAAACGCAAGAAAGCACTATCGTATTTCGCACCGCGGAAGGTACCGCGTAGGCGCGTGGCATCTTCCAGTCCACCGCGTCTTGCCTTTTCCCTTCCCCCGCCGCAGCCGCTGCCCCCACCCACTTATTTTTTTTTCCAAGTTATACCGAAGTACAATAGTTAAAACCTCTACCCGAACCCCACCCACTTATTAAGTTTCCCTTCCAACTTGGCTGGCGGCGACTGTTCCCCCGCAACCGCTATTGTCGCCGCCCGATCTCTTTCCTTCTCCCACCACCATTATTATTTTTTTTTTTTTTTGACAACTCCACCACCATTATTATTATTAGATAAAGAAAGAGAAAAAGAAGTAATCCCAATTCCAATCATATAAAAAAGTTCCGATCTTCTCTATTCAATTTGACTCCTCTCTGCGTCTTCTTCTCTCTTTCAATCTCTGTTTTTTTTCTTCTTCTTCTCAGACCGGCAGCTTCAACCAATTCCGCTCCGCCATGGAGTTCTTCCACAAGGCCAAAGCCGTCCGCCTCCGCAGCCACCACGACAAGTACCTCCTCGCCGCCGACGACGAGGAGTCCGTCCTCCAGGACCGAAACGGGTCGTCCAAGTCAGCCAAGTGGTGGGTCGAGCCTGTACCCGGATCCGACTCCATCATCCGCCTCAAGTCCTCCTACGGCAAGTACCTCACCGCCTCCAACCACCCTTTCCTCCTCGGCATGACCGGCCGGAAGGTGCTCCAGACCCTGCCCCGCCGCCTCGACTCGTCGGTGGAGTGGGAGCCGGTTCGGGAGGGGACCCAGATCAAGCTCCGGACCCGGTACGGGAACTTCTTGAGAGCTAACGGCGGCCTCCCGCCGTGGAGAAACTCTGTGACCCACGACATCCCGCATCGGACCGCGACCCAGGAGTGGGTTCTATGGAACATTGACGTCGTCGAGATTCAAGTCCAGTCCCCTGCCGCCGCCAAATCCCCTGCTTCCCACCACCAGCAGCAGCTCCCTCACGCGGATTCGCTCAATTTCGAGGAACCCAGCTCGCCTTCCTCTTTCTCCGCTAAACCCACTAATTTCTCGAGACAAGAGGTATGGGTTTTGGTCCGATTGGTTCGATTTGGAAGCCCAAAGTTTGAGTCTTTTTTACTCTTTATGCTGGGCAGAATACGATTCTGAATCTCTGATTGGGAATTTCTTTTTTTCCCTGTTCTTTTTGGTTGATGCAGTCGACGGACTCGAATGTTGGGTCGCCGCCGAAGTTGGAGGGGAGGACTATTTACTACCACGTAGCTGACGAGACGGGGGAGGTGGAGGATGACGTGGAAGTAGGCTATTCGCTGAGTTTCAAAGGGAATGGGGTTGAAGGCTTGACCCAGAAGCTGAAGGAAGAGACTGGTTTGGAAGATATAGTGGTTTGTTCCAGGAGTCCTTTGAACGGGAAGCTTTACCCTCTCCGATTGCAGCTCCCTCCTAACAATGCCGATATGCACGTCATCGTTGTTCCATCCTCTTCTAAAGGTCACATTTCCTCTCCCTTGCTCAAACTTCATTGATTCTTTGTTACACAGTGACGACGAGATCTGAATAGTTACAGTGAGAATAGGAAGAAGTGCACGTATTATCCTTGTTTCGGTTCCAGCTTTATCATGACTCTCTTTTGTTTCATTCTTTCAGTGGCTAGAGAATTCGAGAAACAAGGACTGCTGTGATTGTGGTCTGTCACTATATCTATCTGGACGATGGTCGATGGATATACTCCTGGACTGTAAATACTGCTGCTATGTGAAATGGGATGATCTATATGTCAAGGAATGATTGTTGAAGAACCAAGAGTGGTTTGCCATCAAAGCTTTGACATGCATTTTGAAAGCTGCTTTGATCAGGACCATGCAGCTAGCTAGTAGCACTAGTTAGTATAATGGCTTTATGTTGGTTTTTGTTGATAAGCTTAATTGGTCAAATTTTTTTATCTTGTAAAATTTGTTGAAAAAGGATGAAATTGAAAGGAACGGTTCCAGTTTAAGAAGAGGTTATGAGTGTTTTGTTATTCAGGTTCTTGGGACTTTGTTTCTACTGCAAAACAAACATGGAACCACAAAGTTAGGAGGTTTCTTTGGATGAATGAATATATTGAATGATTAAGGATTGTCTTCCTTTGGTTTTTGATTTCTTGTTGCACAAGCATTGCAATTGAATTGAATTTATATACGTGCAAAAAAGAAGGGGAAAAATAATTCTCAATCGCTTTGTGAACTGTCTTTAGTCTTAGAAGCTAATGGTGAAACGATTTATCCTGGTAGCTTGGGTTAGGTAACATCTCAATAGGCTTCTCCACCAACAGATCCAACTGCGCGCCCTCTAGCAGCTCTTTAGCAAATTCCCTAACCCAAGCGCCACCTTCCCTCTTCTTGGCCGCTTCAGCAATATCTTCGCCGCTTTGATCATCACCATCGTGGCTTTCATGCGCCATCGACAGTGGCAACTGCTGGTTGCTCAGATTATGAGGCGGTAGTGGCGGCTTCCCTACTGGCATTGCCAACTTCCCCTTATTCGCAGTGCGAGGAGGAAGAAGAAGAGAGTTGGGAGCTGGATTGGTGACTCGTGGACGCCGGGCTGACCTTGCACGATCAAGTTCGTTTACATCCTTATCGTCGTGCGGTCGCTTCTTGGTCGACTCCATGGCAGTCTGAGGGCAGGGGAGGCCCAGTACGATTGGGTGATTATTCTCATCATTAGAGTTCTCTGTGGCGGCAACCGTCCGTTGCTTTGCTGGGGGCTCGGTATAGCCACAAGGAGCAGTATCATCGTCATCGTCGATTAGAATGACCTCTGGAACTATACTACCGGTGCTGGAGGAGCCATTAACATGAATGTTGGAGAACTTCATTGTATGTTTCTGTTCCATTGTAGCAACCTTTGTAGTTTTTTCTCGCCAAGTTTTGCGAGTGTGTATTGTTTTTTAGAAGCAGTTATTTTATAGAGGAACGATATATGCTCTGGACTAGGATTCCAAGTCCTGTGGGGAAACTGTAAACGGCCGGACCCTTTCTTTAAGAGCTAACGAGGAGAAACTCCGTTACCCATGCGGACATTGACGACCCCTACCGCCGCTAATTCCCCTGCTTCGCTACAGCAGCTCCCTGAGCGGATTTGCTCGAGATAAGAGGTTAGGGTTCTGCTCTGTTCTGTTCTGTTCTGTTCTTGGCCAGAGAGTTTGAGAGACAGAGGAATATTGTAAAGGTGGCTGACAACTAACGTGATCCATTCCAGTGAAGTACTTGGGTCTGCATCAAGAATTGGTAGAGAAGAGATTCATATAAAGTTCAGAAGGAGCCTTCTGATGATCTCATCATCATTTTCAGCAGATTCTTGGTAAACGCCATCTAACAGCTCACTTTTTACTCGCAACGGAGAAGAAGCCATTGGAGAATCTGCTGTCTAATATTTGTACCTATCATGATGTGGTGAGCGAGGGATGTCTCAACGGTTTGCAAACGACGGATATTGATGGAGTTCTAACCAACAGGTCATTTTCAACTAACGGATTCATTATCAGTTTGAAACTATGGGTTCATAATAATCCAATCCAAATGATTTCGGTTGCTTGAATGTTGTATGGCGGCAAATGAGAGGAGCCGAGTCGAGTTTTATTCTAATTTGAGCTTGACTTGTTAACGTCATTGTTTGTTTCAGAGATTTTATAATGAAAAATTGGTTAATTAGATTTGTACGTATGAAGTGAAATTTACTTTTATTACCCTTATTGGTATGAGAATAGAAATAAAATATGAGTGATAGTTTGGTCTTAAATGATGAATTTCAAAGTCCATCATCAATTCCCACCTAAAGAGTTGGAACTTTCAAATTCGTGGATCCCACGGATTTATTGTCCCTAAATACATGAAGCAAAAAATAAATTTTAGACAAAGTCCATGATGGATCCAAATCCATCACCAAATCCATTAACAAATCCATCAAGCAAACAACCCCTAAATAGTTGAGCTCGAGCTCGGATAGTTTATTAACGAGCCGGGTCGAGTCGAGTTCGAGCTAGCTTGCTTAATAAAATCTTGACTCGTATTTGATATGTTCATTTTGTATGTTATACATGATACATGTGATTAATGTCAAGATGAAAATCATGATAATAGTTAAGTGTTCGATATTAACTAATCTCATGTTATACTTTGTGGTATCAAATTATTTAGTTAAAAAAATTTAACTAGTGAAAAGTATGTGATTTCATAGTATCGAAGCAATTTATGATACATAATTAATTTTTAAAATGAGATAAGTCATATTTGTTCACATAATCTACGTGTTAAACTTCATATAGGGTGATACATATAATTTAACAATTCTATGAATTAACAAAATCAAACTCATATGGATCGATTCGCTCATAGTTAGGTAATCGAGTTGGCTCTCTAGCCACAATGTTGAGAGTTGAGACATCTCATGAGCTCTAAACGAGCCAGCTCACGAGTTGACCTCAACAAGCCACTGAGTCGAGCTAGCTTGTGAGCTCCGCGAGCTGCAAAAGGCTAAGCTCAAACTCGGCTCATTAGTAAACGAGCTGAGTTTTGAACGAGCTTTTTTTCCGAGTCGAGCACCGAAGCGTTCGCAAACAGCTCGTTTCATTTATAGCCTACTTGAATGGGGGCAAATATTGACATATTTTTATGACGAACCTTTTTGTTTTTGAGCTTAAGCATCTTAATTTGCAGGCATTGTCTCTTTTTTATAAGATGGAAGCTAAAATATTAAATTTTCCTTCTTCTTTCTGGGATCAGGGTAGGAATATCGGTGAAACTACCAGCGGTTGATCTAGGTTATAGACTTACAGTAGAGTACTGGATTGTATTTTATTAGAAATTAGATATCTTAAAATATATATATATATATATAGTGACGTCTTCGGTGCACTCACTTTTTTGGGTGCATTCAGTGCACTCGTTTCATAACCATCATTTTAAACATGCGATTTGTGTCAAAATGATGTCAATCATCACTTATGATGTGATGAACAATAACGCACATGAATTTGCACAAAACCCATTAAAGATTTACTTTAATTTGAAGGATTTAGAGTTTAGAGATTTAGGATTAGGGTTAGGGTTTACGATTTGGGGTTTAGGGATAGAACTCAAAATTGGAGGTCTAGGGCTTAGGGTATCCGCTAATTAGTTGTTATCATATGTTCTATCATCATATTTGTGAGTGCACCGAAGTAGTCACCATATATATACACATATAATAATTATTGTTTCTTTTTTTACTATGTCAATTGTACACTATAGTCTTTTAATAAAGCGAATTTATTGATAATGGAATATACATCCATACCAATAGCATACTCTCTTTCAAATAAAACAGTTAACCAATCTGCAAGAAATCCATTGTTCATTTTGTTGCGTAAATCAGTTTTCACATGTTTCGTTGTTGAAAAGGTGATCTTCGTAGTAGCCATTGAAACGAACAATGATAACACTAGACAAATCAATCAACTAATCAATTTTTATTGTGTGTCCATCTCTATTTTCACAAGCTGCTCTAGTAATTTTTCAGTGGAGCAAACTTTATATTTCTTTTATTCTTTTACGCTTTAGACTTTTATGTTTCATTGTTTATTTTTTAAGACAAAAATCATTGGCGTTAGAAATTCTAGGCTAAATTTAGAGTTGTGATTTGAATATGTTTATTTGAATTATTTTGCTAGTTAAACACAATCTTATTATAAAATAACACTAGACCGAATGACTAAAATCAAAAAATTCATAAGAGAACATGGTTCATTATAGGTGCTGATGTAACCAAAGGGGTTCTTTACTTTTTCAATTCAGGTACTCTCCCTAGTGGAATTAACTCCACAGTTGTGTCTCTAATTCCCAAAATCCCTAATGTTGTTACCTTAAAGGATTTTAGGCCAATTTCTTGTGTAAATCTCTTATACAAAATAGGTGCTAAGATACTTGCTAGACAAATTAGGGAAGTTTTGCGCCTGGTCATTAGTAACACACAGTGTGCTTTGATCAAGTGGAGGAGTATTATAGATAACATACTGCTAGCACATACTTCCCTAATTTGTATTATAGATAACAAATTAGGGAAGTTTTGCTAGACAAATTGATATAATGAAGGTGTTCGATTCTGTAAATTGGACATATCTCTTTTATATGATGATTGTTATGGATTTTCCTGAGATGTTTATGTAGTGGATTAAGAGTTGAGTCCAGACTGCACATTACAGTATAAACATCAATGGCACTTTATGTGAATGGAGGGAGCAAATTTTTTGTATATTCTTTCTCCTCGGTTTTACTTATTCATTCAGTGTAATTTAGTTCTGACTTTTGAATTCATATATATTTTCTAGGTTATATTAATTTTCTTTAAACATGATTATATATATATATATATATAGTGGCTACTTCGGTGCACTCACTTTTTTGGGTGCACTGAACCTCTAAAAGTGGTCATAATACACTAAATTTTGAAATTTAATGGGTTGTATTAGTCTAATATGATGATATAACATAGAATCCCAACTAATCAACCCATTACCCTAACCTATTAACCTTCAATTTTGAATCTCAACCCAAAATCCCAAATTGTAAACCCTAACCCTAACCCTAAATTCCTAAACCCTGAATCATTCAAATTAAAGTGAATCTTGAATGATTTTTGTACAAATTCATGTGGTTCTTGTTCATCATACCACAAGTGATGATTGACATCGTTTTCACATGAATCGCCTGCTCAGAATGACGATTATGAGGCGGGTGCATTGAATGCACCTAAAAAAAAGTGAGTGCACCGAAGACATAACCATATATATATATATATATGGTGGCTTCTATCGTACCTTGGGTAAAATCTAGGGTACGACATACCATGAGTAAAAAAATGCTATCTAGACCTCGAATTAACCGGATTTTTGGACATGATACTATACTCTAACCCTTGAGGATTGAAACCTAGGTCTTAGATTTCTAAATCAAAGAGCCTAATCCCTAAGATTGTGCCTGTAATTTGTTTCATATATTTCGACAAATCATAGCCGTTTATTTTTGTTTCTAATTAAATTGATCTTAGTGTATGAGATTTATAAAACTAAGACCTAGATTTTAATCCTTAAGGGTTTGGGAATAATATCAGATGCCAAACTATGCTCAATTCGAGGTCTAGATATCATTTTTTTACTCAAGGTGTGTTGTACCCTTGATTTTACCCAAGGTGTGTTGTACCCTTGATTTATAAAACTAAGACCTATATATATATATATGGTTATGTCTTCGGTGCACTCACTTTTTTAGGTGCATTCAATGCACCCGCCTCATAATCGTCATTCTGAGCAGGCGATTCATGTGAAAACGATGTCAATCATCACTTGTGGTATGATGAACAAGAACCACATGAATTTGTACAAAAATCATTCAAGATTCACTTTAATTTGAATGATTCAGGGTTTAGGAATTTAGGGTTAGGGTTAGGGTTTACAATTTGGGATTTTGGGTTGAGATTCAAAATTGAAGGTTAATAGGTTAGGGTAATGGGTTGATTAGTTGGGATTCTATGTTATATCATCATATTAGACTAATACAACCCATTAAATTTCAAAATTTAGTGTATTATGACCACTTTTAGAGGTGGGTGCACTGAATGCACCCAAAAAAGTGAGTGCACCGAAGTAGCCACCATATATATATATACATGATTATAGGCAAAGGCTAGCGTACGCCCGGGCGTACCTTAGTCTACCGTACGCCCATTGAGTTTTACTATTTAGATCATGAATTAACCGGAGTTTTTGGCATGATACTATACCCTAACCTCTAATGGATAAACCCGGTCCCTAATTTTCTAACCCAACTCATGAGATTCATTTAATCTTAAAAAGTAAATCAACAATAATTTTGACAAATCAAGACCGTTGATTTTCATTTCAAGATTAAATGAATATTATGCTTTGGATTAGTGAATTAGGGACTGGGGTTTATCCATTAGAGGTTAGGGTGTAGTATCATGCCAAAAACTCCGGTTAATTCATTGTCTAAATAGCAAAACTCAACGGGCGTACGGTAGACTAAGGTACGCCCGGGCGTACGCTAGCCTGAACCTTATATATATATATACATTTATTTTTCAATTATAAAGACATTTAAAGACATGGTGTACATAAAAATGCATGATTTATTTTTTGTTCATACAATTTAATCATTTGTTTGGAACATAATACCATAGAAATTTATTTTTTATTGATATAATTTAATAACTTGTTCATGTAATTGCCATTTTTTCGATAGTAAATGAAAAAAAAATCTCCCCCACCCCACCCTCCGGAACATCGTATCTTGGCTCCGCTCCTGTTCTAACTGGTGATAAATTCGAAATTCTTATTATGTGGCATTTTTTGTTGGAGAAGTGAGAATTATTGTTGATCTTGGTCAAACACACAATTAATGTAACGACCCTCATAGCAACCAAAACTTATGTTGACATTCAATACTAACCGTAAAACATTTTCACAGTTAATGACTCAGCCAAAATTTGCTGACGTAGCTAATGCATGTTCACCACCTCATTAAATGATTAATTATTTTTAAATTAATTAATTCAGCCAAGAAATAAAATAAATTAATTAATCGAAAGCTTTTCCAAAAATAAACTATCCTCGCTTTCGCGTCTCTTCTTCCCATCTGGTCATCCCCAATTACATCGTCAAACCCTCCCCATTATGAGTGGGCATCCAGTTCGACAAACCTGAACCAAATCGGGCCGAAATCGAAGTAAACCAAACCAAAATCGAAATAATGTTATTTGGTTAGGAATTCGAAATGGCAATATGGATAATTTGAAAAATTAGGGTTCTTTCAATCGAATCGAGGTTCTGAATTCCTGACCAAAAAACCAAAATATGTTACTTAGGCCCAAAAATCATCATTGTACCCCCAACTCACTAAGCCCAAAGCCAAATGAAACCATCTAACTCCCTAACCCCAAATAAAACCCTAACTCACTAGTAACTAATCACAAACAAAACCTCTCTTGCCGCTCAACCTCATCTCTCATTTCTCATCTCTCGGCGTCAACCCTCAATGGCTTGTTTAAGTCCATTTGGTGGAGCTTAGTTGTCCTTCAGTGGGAACGCTTGTGTGTTTTGTTTGTTTTTTTGTAGGGGCACGCAGAAGAGCTCCCGTTATCGGAGAGTCTTCCTCAGACAGGTGACTTGGCTCATGATCAGGATGGAACTATCTTGCAGGATGCTCAGAGCTCGGCTTCTCTCTATAGTTGGGTTTCTTACTATTTTGTTCTCTGTTGTCTCAATAGGGCTGCCCATCATGTGGCATAAAAGGCCCTCTCATCGGGAGTTCGACTATTGGTCGACTCCCGCGCTCTTTTTATTTTCTCTGTATGTCTGGTTTTATAACAACTGACTTTGCGGATGTTGGAGAACTTCATTGTATGTTTCTGTTCCATTGTAGCCACCTTCGTAGTTTTTCTCGCCCAAGTTTTGAGTGTCTGTGTGTTTTTTGTTGGTTTTTGAAGCAGTTATTTTAATTTATGGAGGAAAGATATATGCTCTGGACTAGGATTCCAAGTCCTGTGAGGAAACTGTAAACAGCCCCGATTCCGTTATCCATGCGGCATCGGAGAGCTGATGATTGGGTTCTCTGTGACATTGACTTCCAGTCCTGAGAGGATTTGCTCGATATCTCGAGACAAGAGGTTAGGGTTCTGCTCTGTTCTGTTCTGTTCTTTTCATTCAGTGGCCAGAGAGTTTGAGAGACAGAGGAATATTGTAAAGGTGGCTGACAACTAACGTGATCCATTCCAGTGAAGTACTTGGGTCGGCATCAAGAATTGGTAGAGAAGAGATTCATATAAAGTTCAGAAGGAGCCTTCTGATGATCTCATCATCATTTTCAGCAGATTCTTGGTAAACGCCATCTAACAGCTCACTTTCTACTCGCAACGGAGAAGAAGCCATTGCCCATTGGAGAATCGCTGTCTAATATATGTACCTATCATGATGTGGTGAGCGAGGGATGTCTCAATGGTTTGCAAACGACGGATATTGATGGAGTTCTAACCAACAGGTCATTTTCAACTAACGGATTCATTATCAGTTTGAAACTATGGGTTCATAATAATCCAATCCAAATGAAATCCAAATGATTTCGGTTGCTTGAATGTTGTAGGGCTGCAAATGAGAGGAGCCGAGTCGAGTTTTATTCTAATTTGAGCTTGGCTTGTTAACGTCATTGTTTGTTTCAGAGATTTTATAATGAAATTAGTTAATTAGATTTGTACGTATGAAGTGAAATTTACTTTTATTACCCTCATTGGTATGAGAATAGAAATAAAATATGAGTGATAGTTTGGTCTTAAATGATGAATTTCAAAGTCCATCATCAATTCCCACCTAAAGAGTTGGAACTTTCAAATTCGTGGATCCCACGGATTTATTGTCCCTAAATACATGAAGCAAAAAATAGATTTTAGACAAAGTTCATGATGGATCCAAATCCATCACCAAATCCATTAACAAATCCATCAAGCAAACAACCCCTAAGGAAGAGGGGGGGCTTGGCTTTCGCCCTTTCCATATTTTCAACCTTGCACTTCTGGCCAAGCAGGCCTGGAGAATTATCACCAACAAGGAGGCCTTTTGGGTGAAGGTTTTGAAGAGCATTTGTTTCCCTAACACTGATTTCCTGAATGCAAAAAAAGGCGGCAAAGCATCGTGGATATGGGCCAGTCTATGTGAAGCGAAGAAATGGATGGCTAAGGGCCTTATCAGGGTGATTGGTAACGGAAAAACTACCAGGTTGTTTCATGACCCATGGAGGTTTGACAGGCCAGGGCCCCTCCTCCAGTTTGAATGGAATGCAAATGACACTGCTCATACTTGGATCGATGAAATTACAAGGGAATGGAAGTTTGATCTACTGTCAAATTTTCTCAGTCAGCAGGACTTGATCCAGGTGGCAGCAATCCCCATTGGACCGGATTCTATGGAGGACTTCTGGGCGTGGAGATTTACTGACCAAGGTAACTTCACAGTGAAGTCTGCCTTCACCCAGTTTCATCTGCAGGATAGACAAGAAGGAGGGTGGTCTGAGGATACCCCGATGGTGAGCAGAGATCGGTGGAAGTGGTTATGGAGTTTGTCATTACCACCTAAGCTTAAATTCTTCATCTGGAGGGTTACCAGAGGGGTTCTGGCCTGCAAAGAAAATCTGTTTGAGAGAAGATGTGCCACCTCAAAGGAATGCCCGCTGTGTGGATGCTTCTCAGAATCAATCCACCACTGTTTATTTGCGTGCCCCCACGCGGCGGAGGTATGGAGGCAACAGTGGCCCTCCCTTCCTCGACCTTCACCGATGTCCTCTTTCCTGGAATGGCTTGACTCCCTTCGAAAGTTCTACACAGTTGAGACGATTCAGAAAATTGTCTTCCTCAGCTGGCAGATCTGGAAATCCAGAAATGGAAAAATCTTCAGGGATAAGCATCCATGGCCACCGTCGATTATTTTGACTGCCGAGGCAGCTCATTCTCAATGGTCCACTTGCCCAAGGAAAGCTCCTGATAACCCCCTTTCAACTCAGCCCACCCCACCCCAGCAGCAATCTGAACCACCGCCAGGTACTCAGCTCTTTGAAGTACACTGCGATGGCTCGTTTTTTGACGAGTCCCAGAAGGCGGCATATGGCGTCGTGGTTACGAACAGCCATGGTCAAGTTTGTGATGGCAGGTCTGAGCCCATGCATTGTTTTTCCCCTATTGAAGCAAAAGCCACAGCCCTGTTGGAGGGCTCCCGTCTCGCTGCATCTCTTCGGTCCCCATGTGTGCTCAAGTCGGATAGCTTGCTACTGGTTAAGGCAGTCCACAGTGACTCTATTTCCTGGCCTTGGAGAGCGGCTGCAAGATTGGGCTGCATCAAGAGACTGCTGGCAGAGAACCCTCTCATCAAGTTGCAGCATTTCAACCGCAAGAAGAATTTCAAGGCAAATTGGGTTGCTAGATCCTGTGCTAGAAATCAATTACCATCGCAATGGTTGAATATTCTTGATGTTGTTGCCCCTTTACTGGGTTGACTGGCTTGTGCCACAAGGAATGGAAATTCAGTGTCCTTTTGTCAAAAAAAAAAAAACAACCCCTAAATAGTTGAGCTCGAGCTTGGATAGTTTATTAACGAGCCGGGTCGAGTCGAGTTCGAGATAGCTTGCTTAATAAAATCTTGACTCGTATTTGATATGTTCATTTTGTATGTTATACATGATACATGTGATTAATGTCAAGATGAAAATCATAATAATAGTTAAGTGTTCGATATCAACTAATCTCATGTTATACTTTGTGGTATCAAATTATTTAGTTAAAAAAATTTAACTAGTGAAAAGTATGTGATTTCATAGTATCGAAGCAATTTATGATACATAATTCCTTTTTAAAATGAGATAAGACATATTTGTTCACATAATCTACGTGTTAAACTTCATATAGGGTGATACATATAATTTAACAATTCTATGAATTAACAAAATCAAACTCATATGGATCGATTCGCTCATAATTAGGTAATCGAGTTGGCTCTCTAGCCACAATGTTGAGAGTTGAGACATCTCATGAGCTCTAAACGAGCCAGCTCACGAGTTGACAACAACAAGCCACCGAGTCGAGCTAGCTTGTGAGCTCCGCGAGCTGCAAAAGGCTAAACTCAAACTCGGCTCATTAGTAAATGAGCTGAGTTTTGAACGACCTTTTTTTCCGAGTCGAGCACCGAAGCGCTCGCAAACAGCTCGATTCATTTATAGCCTACTTGAATGGGGGCAAATATTGACATATTTTTATGATGAACCTTTTTGTTTTTTAGCTTAAGCATCTTAATTTGCAGGCATTGTCTCTTTTTTATAAGATGGAAGCTAAAATATTAAATTTTCCTTCTTCTTTCTGGGATCGGGGTAGGAATATCGGTGAAACTACCAGCGGTTGATCTAGGTTATAGACTTATAGTAGAGCACTGGACTGTATTTTATTAGAAATTAGATATCTTAAAATATATATATATATATATATATATATATATATATATATATATAGTGGCGTCTTCGGTGCACTCACTTTTTTTGGTGCATTCAGTGCACTTGTTTCATAACCATCATTTTAAACATGCGATTTGGGTCAAAATGATGTCAATCATCACTTATGATGTGATGAACAATAACGCACATGAATTTGCCCAAAACCCATTAAAGATTTACTTTAATTTGAAGGATTTAGAGTTTAGAGATTTAGGATTAGGGTTAGGGTTTACGATTTGGGGTTTAGGGATAGAACTCAAAATTGGAGGTCTAGGGCTTAGGGTATCCGCTAATTAGTTGTTATCATATGTTCTATCATTATATTACACTAATTCTACAAATTAAAATTCAAAATCCGACACCTTAAGACTAGTTTTTGAGTTGGGTGCATTGAACGCACTCATTTTTGTGAGTGCACCGAAGTAGTCACCATATATATACACATATAATAATGATTGTTTCTTTTTTTACAATGTCAATTGTACACGATAGTCTTTTAATAAAGCGAATTTATTGATAATGGAATATACATCCATACCAATAGCATACTCTCTTTCAAATAAAACAATTAACCAATCTGCGAGAAATCCATTGTTCATTTTGTTGCGTAAATCAGTTTTCACATGTTTCGTTGTTGAAAAGGTGATCTTCGTAGTAGCCATTGAAACGAACAATGACAACAATAGACAAATCAATCAACTAATCAATTTTTATTGTGTCTCCATCTCTATTTTCACAAGCTGCTCTAGTAATTTTCCAGTGGAGCAAACTTTATATTTCTTTTAGTCTTTTACGCTTTAGACTTTTATGTTTCATTGTTTATTTTGTAAGACAAAAATCATTGGCGTTAGAAATTCTAGGCTAAATTTAGAGTTGTGATTTGAATATGTTTATTTGAATTATTTTGCTAGTTAAACACAATCTTATTATAAAATAACACTAGACCGAATGACTAAAATCAAAAAATTCATAAGAGAACATGGTTCATTATAGGTGCTGATGTAACCAAAGGGGTTCTTTACTTTTTCAATTCAGGTACTCTCTCTAGTGGAATTAACTTCACAGTTGTGTCTCTAATTCCCAAAATCCCTAATGTTGTTACCTTAAAGAATTTTAGGCCAATTTCTTGTGTAAATCTCTTATACAAAATAGGTGCTAATTAAGATACTTGCTAAACAAATTAGGGAAGTTTTGCGCCTGGTCATTAGTAACACACAGTGTGCTTTGATCAAGTGGAGGAGTATTATAGATAACATACTGCTAGCACAGGAACTGGTTAGTGGATATCATAGGACTGGGCTCTCATCTCATTGTGCTATTAAAATTGATATAATGAAGGTCTTCGATTCTGTAAATTGGACATATCTCTTTTATATGATGACTGTTATGGATTTTCCTGAGATGTTTATGAAGTGGATTAAGAGTTGAGTCCAGACTGCACATCACAGTATAAACATCAATGGCAGTTTATGTGAATGGAGGGAGCAAATTTTTTGTATATTCTTTCTCCTCGGTTTTACTTATTCATTCAGTGTAATTTAGTTCTGACTTTTGAATTCATATATATTTTCTAGGTTATATTAATTTTCTTTAAACATGATTATATATATATACATTTATTTTTCAATTATAAAGACATTTAAAGACATGGTGTACATAAAAATGCATGATTTATTTTTTGTTCATACAATTTAATCATTTGTTTGGAACATAATACCATAGAAATTTATTTTTTATTGATATAATTTAATAACTTGTTCATGTAATTGCCATTTTTCCGATAGTAAATGAAAAAAAAAACTCCCCCACCCCACCCCCCGGAACATCGTATCTTGGCTCCGCCCCTGTTCTAACTGGTAATAAATTCAAAATTCTTATTATGTGGCATTTTTTGTTGGAGAAGTGAGAATTATTGTTGATCTT